GCAACCTGGGCACGTGCCCTTGGCTGGAATCGAACCTGGGACCTTTTAGTCTGCAGGCCGACGCTCTATCCACTGAGCCACACCAGTGAGGGTTTAAAATGTTTACTGATTGAGTTGAGAGAGAGAGAGACAGAGAGAAACTGATCTGTTTCATTCATTGGTTGACTCTTGTACGTGCCCTGCTGTGGTGCTGGTATTCCACATGCGCTCCGTACGCACATTTCCCCCACGTCGGCCGTGGCGTTCCTTCCAGCCACTCATCCTCTGACGCAGGATCCAGTCCAGGGTCACAGATGGGCTTGGCTGTCGCGTCTCTTTAGTGTCGTGTCTCCTTCCCTCTATCCAGTTCCTTGGCCTTGACGTCCCTCCCATGACCTTGACTACTTTTTTGAAGGGGATAAGCCAGTCTGGTCTGGGTGACGTTTCCTCAGGAATAGCTTGCACTGGGGATGGAGCCCACAACCCGGCCATGTACCCTGACCGGGAATCAGACCGTGACCTCCCGGCTCGGATAGGTCCCTCTTCAAGGGCAGGCTTCACGTATGTACTTATCGTGTCTCTCCCGGAGCTGGCTGCACCACCGTGTCTGGGTGACTCGTGGCTGTGGTGGCCGTGCCTGCAGCCGGCCTCCTCTGGGTGGGAGGGGCTCAGGGACCCGCGGGGGAGGGAGAAGGGGGAGGAAGGAGGGCTCTGGGCCGGACCGTGGTACCGATGATGAGAACCTGGCGTTTGGGGGGGCAGTGACTTGTCCGGGGTGATGGGCGTGGCGGGGGCCAGGCAGGGCCTCCCCCAGCTGCTGCTTCTCCTTGTGCGCCCCCACTGGGAGCAGGGCCAGGAGACCAAACAGTGCTGAGAGCGCCTGACTTACCCAGTTTCTGGATTGTCATCTGGAGAAACATAAAATTCAATGTAAACGCAAATGCATGTAGAAATAAAGGTTCGGTTCTACACAGGACAGACTCCAGCATCAGGGGAAGCCTCAGGCTTCCGCTCCTGTCGGCAGCAGTGGGAGGCCCGGCCGGTGGGTCCCCGGGGGCCGCCCGGACCCTCCCCG